ATTTCTTTCACTTGTGTGCAATGGGAATAGACATTGCAGTTGCAGTGCTTAGTTAGCCGCACGCAGGGATATGTGTGCACTACTCGATATCTGGGTAGCAAAGGTACACATTTCTGCATGCTATAAAAACACAACTTCACTCAATCAAAAGTCCCTTAAAGGCAAATACATTGAAAGAGTGATGGGTCGAAAAGGTGATGCATTTGCACTCAGAGAATGCAGGCTGGCGTTGCTGAATTTGCACACTGTAACTGCAAAAAAAAAAAAGCATTAAATCCTTAAAATATTCCTGCAGTGGTCTTCTGCTGAATGAGGAGCTTTATGAATATTTCAATTACAAGATGAGGCTTGAAAGAATGGAGTTATTTCAATTCTGAATCACCCTTCCTTAAATAACTTGCCCTATTTGGTATTAAATTAGACCCCATTAAATCCACACGCACTGGGCAATGATGGGACCTCATGAACCTCCTCACTGTCCCTCTGAACGGACCAACCATTGACACTGAGGAGACACCCAACTCTTGCCATGTTTTTGGGCAAACAAAACCCTCCGTAAATGGCTCAGCCAAGGTGTTTCCCTTCCTTGCCCACTGTTATTTTCAGTATTTGAGCGTTAATTTAAAGGCTCAGCTTTTTGCACACCTGCCCCTTTGTTACAACCTTTTAACCACTTCATGTCCTGGTTCTGATCTCATTAAACCAACCAAAATATAGCAAAAATATAGAAAAAAATAGAGAGTTACTGCTGATATTACTGGAGTTAATGAAACCAGGCTGTTTGTTTTCCCTCATTCAGATCACCCCACTGAGCTAAATTCTAAATTTGCTTATGCCAGCAACCTTCAGTGCTTGCTAAACCAGTGGCGTCACTGAAGCCTCTTTGGAATTGCATCCCCATCAGCATGTGAAACACAGATTTCAGTGGGATTTCAGTTAGATTTCATGCTTCTTGGGAAAGTAATTACAAGTTTGTGCTACCTGGTCTGCTCGATGTTGGCAGAAGGACCCACTGGGCTCCCTGGGAACATCTCCGTGTTTCCTTGAGAGAGAACAGTTGCCCTAAATGCAATCAGAATTTGGGCTTGACTTCTTCATACAACACAGTGCCAACAGCCAGATTCTCCTGCTCCTTGCACCCATCTAAATGACTGTGCAACCCTATAACTTAATTAAGTATCCTCTCCATCACCCGCCACACTGCTGCTTCACACATTCTGGCAACATGCCCCTCATATTGCGGCAGATATGGCTGGCAGTGCACTGAGTATTAATTACATGAGCATAAATAACATTCCCTCTTATCTCAGCTTCATGATCCACTGTTTCTGATGGAAATATATTCATAGTAACAAGTGAGAGAAAACAACCATGGGGTAAATTTAAGCCTAAATATGAGTGATGGATTTTGTAGTGAGTGAAAGTTAAAGCCAGGACCAGTGGCACTGCACTGGTGACATTGCACAAGAACAGAACAGTTAAAAAGCGGGGTCTGGGAAAACACTGATACAATAAAATGAGGGGCTGGCAGGGCTCCCTCCCACCCCAGCCCCTCCAACAAAATCAAGCAGGATGACAAAGCCTTTACTGTGCAATTCTCCCTTCCTGCCTCCATTGGCAGCTCATTACTAGGTCGAGAGAGGTTCTCCTGCCCCTCTACTCTGCCCTGGTGAGACCGCATCTGGAATATTGTGTCTAGTTCTGGGCCCTCAGTTCAAGAAGGACAGGGAACTGCTGGAGAGAGTCCAGCGTAGGGCTACAAAGATGATCAAGGGAGTGGAGCATCTCCCTGATGAGGAGCGGCTGGGGGGGCTGGGGCTCTTTAGTTTGCAGAAGAGGAGACTGAGGGGAAACCTCATTCATGTTGATAAATATTTCAAGGGTGAGTGTCACGAGGATGGAGCCCTCAGTGACAAACAATGATAGGACAAGGGGTAACGGACACAAACTGGAACACAGGAGGTTCCACTTCAATTGGAGAAGAAACTTCTTCTCAGTGAGGGTGACAGAGCCCTGGCCCAGGCTGCCCAGAGAGGTTGTGGAGTCTCCTTCTCTGCAGACATTCAAAACCCGCCTGGACGCCTTCCTGTGTAACCTCATCTGGGTGTTCCTGCTCCGGCAGGGGGATTGGACTGGATGAGCTTTGGAGGTCCCTTCCAATCCCTGACGTTCTGTGATTCTGTGATTCTGTGAAAGGTGTTTCCCAACTGTCTTGTCACCAGGAGAAAAAACAAGAGCAAAAAATTGAGCTTTTGTTCGCTCAAAAACTCCCCTTAATGATTGCAGGACAGAAACACACACCTGAAACTAAGTTACTTCCCTGGCTCTGCACTGCTGAGGGTTACACGACGCGTGTGGTGTTGGAAAACCATTTGGAGGTGCGGGTTTGCCTGCCAGGAAGACAATGTCGATATTTATGTCTGTATGAAGGCACCTGGACTCATGATGAATAGAACAGTGCTCAGGTGGTGTTTTAAAAGGCAGGATTCAGGTATGCAAGTTTGTGTGGGGGTGTTCATGAATAACCGTGTATTATTTGTGTACACACACAACAGGAGCAGCTTCTGAGAGTTACTATCACGTGTATGGCAGAACGAGCCATTTTACCTACACATGCACTTATTCAAGTGCACGCTATTGAGGATGGATACTGTTGTGAATGTTGCTCTCTGTGATACATTTATAAGGCAGATGTAATTATTCAGTGTTTTGAATATGTATTTTTAGCTTGTTTACTGGGTACATTATATAAATGCGAATGGCTATTTGTGCATGAGTAGTGTGGTTACAGGTTATGAATGTTTCTTGTGGAGTATTAGTTAATATTTTGGAAAGTACAGAGGCTGGTGAGTGTGTAGTATATACTGCATATTTATGTGGGTGGACATATCTATGTGAGCTATTTCAACTCACGGAAGAGATGCAGACTTGTATTGAAATGTGCATTACAGCAAAGAGCGGGTCTACTAGGCTTTTATTCCCATGGTTTATTGTCCTGCACATGCTTGGGGAATGGCAGGGAAACGGATATAATTTTCAGAGATGACAATTCTGGAAGAGGCTCTCTCCCTTACTTTCAGAATAGTTCAATACATTCATTAAATTAAACCTTTTAGAGATACATTTCAGGAAAAGGAGGACACAGGACAGTCCTGGGGCCTGCCTGAAATGCTTTGGAGAGGGTATGACTTGATTGCATTACAAAACCCACGTAACTAATTGCCATGCCACAGTACTTCAAAATATGGTTCCCCACCTTTTACATCTCAAATGCAAGTTGCATTCAGCCCTGGAGGTTATCCTCCTCCAGATCTGCTCAGCTTCTTAAAACCCACAGGAGGATGTTTCTCCTACACAAGACAGGGAAGTTCTTTTGCTACTGCTGACACCGGCGCTGTTTGAAGCATCCATTCAACACGGTACTCAGGCATATTTCAAATTTCCAACACAGAAAGAGCCTGTGAAGTCAACAGAGTACACAGCTGCTGAAGGGGCTTGCTCAAGAGGGGAGAAATCCACTTCTTGTCTTACTTCCCGTGCACTGTAACAGATGTGCACCCCACTCCGCTGCGCACCATTCAGCAATTATTCTTCTGACAATACCCGGTGCACAACAAAAACTCCTTACACGTAGGATATGTGATTTCTCAGACTTGACGATATTAGGAAAGAGCAAAGAGGAAGCTGAGCAGAAAACCTAAAGTGAGACCTTTTTGAAAAATGTTACCCTCTCCAAGTCTCCAAGACGCTTTCTAGAACTGACGAGCACTTCAAACGAAGTTACTTCACTTCCAAACTTGCTGCATAACATCATGGTAATTCCTGTGTCCTGGGGGCCAAGCTGACTGCTGGCTCTTAACATGGTTTGAAGTACAACAGAGTCATCCCATATTCGTTTTTCCACTCCTCTCAGAAAGAAATACAAATTTTATCTCCTTATCTACAGCCTTGACATTGGCAGGTGATTGCAAGAGACTTTGTTTGCAATTAGGCCAGTGCTGAACACGTACCCATCCTTTGCAAAGCTGATCTGTAAACTTTTTCTTCAAGAAATAAAGTGCCATTTTGATAAAGAAGTAATCCTACAGGTATCTTATTTTTTTCTACCTTTATTTTAAATAAATGCTTTTAAAAAGAGCAGAGAATTTTGCTAACTGTTACTTACCCATTCTACCCACTCCAGGGACTCTGATACTCCAGAACATTTCCAAATCCCAGCTCGATACTTACTGTGTTTTAAATCATCAACCGGGAAACTGGGACATCCAGGCCAGGACAAAACCTTCACTGCGACAAGATCTGAACTTTCTGTGACCATGGACAGGCTATGAAATGTGTCAGAGATGTCATGAAAAGAGTACGCAAAGAGAACACTTCAGTTGGAGAAGACAGTCAAAAACACTGGATAAACAGGCTGAAGGTCTACAGGGAAACTTGTCCTGTTAATAGCAGACATTTTGCTGGAAATAAATCACAGTGACTGCGATCCTGGAGGAAAACACTAAAATCTATTAATAAAATTCACAAAAGCAAAACAGTTCACTACATATCAGAGAGGGGGTTTTTTTCCTCTTCTTTTAATTTAGCAGTAACAATGTCTACAATACATTGACTCACAAATTAAGTGAAGGTATGGAACCACATTCTGCATACTGAAATGGGACATTCTGGACTTTTGCTTTCTAAACACCCTCTCAGGGGAGAAGAGTTCTGGACAGCCAATGAACACCTTTCGAAACAACCAGTGGTGGGAATTTCAATTTTAACAGTGATTATGTTTAGTGAGCCTTGTCCATAGAGACCAAAACGCTTTGCACATGAGTGCAAAGCCCAGAACCTCACTGTACAGACAAAAGGGGAGGGAAACTGAGGCACGGTGCTGTGCAGTGACTTGCCAGGACCAGGCAGCAGAGATCTGGACATAAATGTCAGCTCTCTGACCCCAAACCACAGTCTCCCAGTTGGTGTACGTGGGTGTCTACTGTCCAGCAGTTCGTGTGTTATACGGGTATATCTTCTTTCACCTCTCCCGCTGTCCCGTTGGCTCCATTCAATCCTGCCGGCTCCCTGCCTTCTTCCTCTTCTTCTTCCTCTTCCTCTTTCGCTGTCTCTGCTTCTCTGCCCCCGCTCAGGAGGGTGGCACTGGAGAGGTGGCTGAGGAGTTGGCCTTCGCGGCGGGACTCGGCCAGCTCTTTGGCACAGCACACGGGGGTGTTGGTCTCGTAGGTGCTGTGGAAGCTGTTGTAGTCGACTTCGTAAAAATCCTTCTCCAGGGTGAGGACGGGAGTGAAGCGATGTCCCCACAGCACCTCGGTGTCCATGTAGGAGCTGCGAGCCTGGCAAGTCATCCCTGGGTGGAAACAGAGGGATGTTAAATGCAAAGCTTCCTTACATGCTCACCCAACCACTGCTTTCATTTAAAAGCACTTTCATGTTATCTCCATACCTGATTGCTCTGGGACACAGAAAAGGTCTTCGCTTAATAAGCCTCACAAAAGCCTCTATCCTGAAAAAGCTGAGCACTCAAAGGAAAAGGGATGGCTTCGTCGCTGCATCTTCAGACTGTTTCCTGAACCCCGTGCTTATGGGTTTGAAGTCTGGTACCACTAAGCAGCTTCTCTCTGTCCTCACCTTGCTCTGTTGAGGTGTTGCCTGCGTGGCTGACACTAACAGCAGTTCTGGTGCATCATGCTACAGCAACATCCAACCCTGTCAGCGCACCTCAGATCCTCACCCACATGGCCCCTGAGGAGAGTGAACCGCTGCATCTGACCCCATCTGCAGCAGTACCAGTAATTCCCTCCTGTGCTTGGGTTAAGACACCAAGACATAGAGGGGGCCACAAATTCCAGTGCTTTATATGGCAAGCTGGCTTTTAAATCCCTCCGGAGGGTTCAATCCAACTGTATTGGGTTGGCAGAACCATAGCAACCTACAGTGATGCTCATAAGCATATCGAGTTCCATGTATTAATGGGTTGTGGATTAATGAACAGCAGGCAATATGAAACTGGTATTTGTCAAGCTGCTTCTCAGCCCCAAGGAGCAGAGCTTATTTATTTACTCTGAAAAAGTTTAAAGAGCAGCTTTGCAAAGGATGGATACGTGTTCAGCACTGGCCTAATTGCAAACAAACTCTCTTGCAATCACCTGCCAATGTCAAGGCTGACTCCTCCTCCAAATATTTGTCTTCTGTTTGTCCTAATTATGATTTTGGATTTAATTCTGGTGAAATTTGGAAAACCTGACCACACAAGATCCTCCCACTGTTCTCTTTTGGAGGGTGAGAGATAGGCCTGACTGGGATACATTCAAAACATGCACCTGATCCAGTTCCTGGCCAATTCTTCCAAGTCCAAAGTACACAAACAGATACGGAAAGCAATAGATGAGGGGGGAAGTATCAGTGTCAGATGCCTCAGGGAAGAGCATATCATATATTCTCAGCACATGAGCTCAACTAAGTGACTGAAATCTCAGAGTAATCGGAAAACTCATTTCCTTAAAAAAAAAGGCACCTTTGCGAAAAGACTAGTATTTTGTCTCGTAATTGCTACAGTCCATTAAAAGACACCCACACAAGCAGGTTCTCTGGAAAGCTTTACTTCTCTCTTGCTGCTTTCCTTCGTTTAAAGCTATGAGGCCAGGAGTATATTGGTTGCTTTTGGTTCTTGAAAGGGGAAAAGAACTTCCAGATCTGTATCTCAGACTGAAAAGCCGATTTTTTCCCCCAAGAATATCTCAGAAGTATTTGCTTCTGGGCAGGAACAACCAGTACAGAGTTAGTCATAGTGTTCTGGTGTGCCTGCTTCCTGGACTGGAAGGAACCGGGATGTGCAGAGGCTGCTAAGAAAAATAGGATAACAGAAGAAGAATATTACCCCAAGTGTTTTCGCTTTAAGGAGAAGCTCTGCTGAGGTACAGTGACTTTTCAGGAAACTATCAGCTGTACAAGTGAAAAACAGCATGGAGACCACCCCTGACTGTATGGTGACACTACAACGTGCAGCATCCCCTGAGGTAAAGACTGGTAAATCTTCACTCCCTTTTATCAGCCAGCAAAGAGCAGATCATAAAGTCCTGCTAATTTTGGAGTCCTGCCACAGTGCTTCTCAGGAGAGCTGTGTCGCTGACATTTATCGTACTGTTGACCTCCCCGGGCAAGGCTTTTATTACCGGTCAGTAATGCAGCTGCAGGGCTAATCCCATTTCCTGATGCTCCCTCATGCTGGGAGGCCAACAAGCAGCACTTACGTGTATGGTAAGGAGGCAGTTAAAATAAACGAGCCCTTTTTCCTTTAGCCAGAGCTGCTTTTGCACCAGAAATCAGGAAAGGCCTTCAAGCGTCTCCTCCGAGCTCCGATTGCTTTCAAAGCCCAGCAAAGAGCAGCAGAGGAGAGTGCACAGAATTAAGTCCTGTGACTGCACTGGTGGGTTCTTCCCATGGCTTTCCAAGTGCTGCACAAAGGTACCACGTAGCTGTCCCCAGGGCCAAGATGGGGTGTCCCTGCTAAACGTGGGGGCCTGAGGCATCCCAAGGGAACTCCTGCTTTATAATCGGGACTGAAATAGCTCCTTCCCTGGGGGAGCACCTGAGAGTGAACCTGAACTCCAGAGACACAGTCCCCGTTATCTCCTGCTGTAAGTATTCAATTAAAGGCGGCACAATAGAAAGCTTTCAGCAACCAAATGCTGCACACTGCCAGCTTCCTGCAGTAGCTGCTTTCTGTAACCCCAGGGGTACGCAGAGCCAGCACAATAAGACAACTTGTAATTGCTGCATAATCCCATTCAAATATTCCTTTTTAGCACATGTGCAGTGGTGTTTTAATTGCGTGGGGACACACTGCTTGGCAACTCCTACATTACCCAGTAAACAACAGCGTTGTCTCTGCTGCAAATGCCATTAAATGCCTGCTTTGCAGGCTGCCCTGTGCTCTCCAGCCTGGTTAATTAATGCATCTGTAATGTCCCTAGCTGATTATTGCCTCTGTAACTGCAAAAAAGATGACAGAAGAGGTGTGGAAACAATAAACCTCACTTTTATTAAGAGCACATGGGTGCAGCCGCTCTGTACTTCCACACAAAGTCATAGAGATGAAGTGTATCGCGTTTTCCGGATAATAAGACGATTAGAAGTTTAATTTTCTCCTAAACAATCTGGTTCAACAATGAAAAAGTACGTTTAATATAAATCTGTCAGTTGTGGAAAATGTGAAATGATATGTGAAATCTTCAGCTTTTGAGTTTTAGTTACAGCTGTCTCATCTCTTAATTTTGCAGCTGAGGTTTCAGTTGCAGACAAAACGCAGTTTTAATTGAAACCAGGAAAAAAAACTTTGTACAAAGTTATAAGCAGATGCACCAAATTTTCAACAGAGCTGAAACCAGTTCCAGGCTTTTTAGAAAGCTGGAGACCAGAGGACTGTCTCCTGGTTTCAGGTTTTGCAATAAACTTTTCATAGAGCTTTAATGATAATTTCATTACAGCAGAACGCTAAGAAGTGCACTTTCTGTCTGCTGGCTGGAGTCACTGCATCACAGGATCAATATCAGTTTGTGCATGTTCCTGTTTAAGGCAGCCAGAGATGCCTTCCTAAACAGCTCGCTTCTGGTTTCCAGTAGATGAAAAGATGCAGAATATATTGCTATGTGTATTAAAGCAGGTGTTTCATTACACTGGAGAACAGAGAGAGGCACCGAGGAAGACTGGTGTGTAAAATAGGTGTCAGGGAGCCCTACCAATAAGGCACTTTTCTGTCATCAGAATCAGCTGGGATCAAGCAGCTCACATTTTATCAAAGACAAAGGAATGGTAATGCATGCTGACAAAAAGCAGTTATTTGATGGCTGGCTTGGGAAGGAGCCTGGGTTTTCGGCAGCGAACTCAATGGGAGTTGCAGATTTCTGAACGTTTCCCTGTTTGCAATGCCGCTGATTATGCAACTGGAGCAGAGCTGCTGCTCTCCCTCACTGCGAGGAAAAGTGGCGATTGCTCCTCATTTCCAGGTCTTGTATACCCTCGGGTTACCAGCTCAAACCAAACTCCATTATCACAGCCCAGATCTAACTGCACTTGCAGATTTTGGCTATCCAGAGCCGAACCCGCAGCCTCTCCCCAACTGCTGGAGGGTGCAGATTTTTGTCAAAAGGCAGCACCTTTATGGGGAGTTTAATGGGAGAGGGCAAGGGACCACAAACCATCATCTACCAACCCAAGAAATTGCCATAGGCTTCAATTTGATCCCACCAACGATGCAGTTTAATATTTCAGTACTGCTCCACACCTGGACTTTCTCAGTGGGCAGAGATACCCCAACTCCTGGGGCTGTCAAGACAACATTTTTCATCAGCCTAAAATAAACTCTCCTCATTTAAATGCCACAGAGCTCAGTGCTTATCTGCTGGCAAAATGTCCTGAGGATCCTGACTGTACGTTAGCCGCATTTCTGGGCTCTCTCTGCAGTCCAGACACAGACATTGCTGGAAGGGATTTCACTCCTCTGTCCCTGTTTTCATACCCGATTGTATGCAGGGTGGTTTTTTCCCTTGTAACTCGCATAACTGACACTCTGCTCCTTGAGCTGAGCTCCACCGACACTACAGCAACACAGAGAAAGAGCTGATGGACTCAGAGTTATAGGATGGCAAGGAGTAGTTACAAAAATTTGAAGTCCTATCACTCTAATTAAGCAGTAGCTGTCTTTCGATTAACATCAGCATTTGGATAGTTATCAAATTTATTAGTCCCTTTGCGTTAATTAGACCAAAGAACACCGTAACCTCCAAAAGTCACTATTCCTCCAACTTGCAAAGGAATATTAGAAGGTAGGAGCATGGTCCTCCAACTATTTGTGCTTGTCTCCTTTAGAGGAGTTCATGCCTGGGCTTGATTCGCTTTGATTTTTAGCCCAGAGGAGAGTAATAGGATTTTAATTTCTCTGAAAGCTCTTCAGGCATGTGAAAGCTCCTGGGCACCGATAATAAAATAAAAAAAATAATAATTTTAAAAAGGACCTTATGATTTAAAGGTCTCTGATTCAATTGCCATGGCTCTACCAGGCCAAACCTGAGCACCAAGCTCACACCGTGTCACTGCAGGCCCCTCACAAAGGTGCTTTTAGGGCAGGGGCACCCACTATGACTGGCCTGGCAATGTCCACCTCTGGAGGACAACTCAGCTCATGAAAAGAACGACTTGAGACATCTCTCTCTTCCCTATAATTGTATAAGCAGTTTCTGTAACAGTTCTGCTAGGTCCTTCTTGCAGAAAACTTATTTATATGCAAAATAAAACAAGATGACAACCCAAACCAGATGATGAATGCACGAAAACTCCAGTTTGTAATTTCACCCTTCCTTTGTTCTCCCATAGAAACCAAGATTAATTTCAGGATATCCATGATTAATTTCAGGATATCTTACATTGTGACTACCTCCTTTGGTCCTGTATTTACAGCCAAGTAATTTCACTTGTAAAAGTGGATAAATTGAGGTGCAGAAAAGCTGCTGTTTGCCTACACGCTCACAAGGCCAGGATGAGGTAAATGACTTCTAATCATTAAACCACTTTTTAATCACTCAGACTCTAAGCCAGAAATGTATACGCCTATCCTTTCCTAAGAGTCCAGTCACCAAATGACTCGCTCTCTGCCTTGCTTTACACTGGATCAAGAAGGTGAGGGCAAGAGGTTTGGCCAGCAACAGCCCCAACCTCTTCTGTTACCAGGCTCTAATGGTTGTTGCCGCCGTGGGAAGCAGAAAGGCAGTGAAAGCAGAAATACGTTCACTTTGCAAACTGATTTTCCGCCTTCACTTTCTTCCCTTTTATTGCGGGTCACATCTGGGCCAGCTGATCCCGACAAGTGTCCCTTTCAGATAAGGCAAAAGAGAACTAATTCCCTAAAGTAATCTCTGTGACCAATTCATTAAGTAGGCACCGTGAGTGATGCTGCTGCTTTCAAGATGCCCACGAAGCAGCCCTGGCAGTCAGAACCCTTGTATTGATTTTGTCTTTACAGCGGTCATTTCCCTCAGCAACGATCAGAGCAGATCTGCCCAGAAACTTCGTCTCCCTTTGGCAGTTTTTAACCTCTCGTGGGTCCCTGCAGAGCTCTCACTACAATAATGCAATGTTTATTTTCCTTTTCTGCAAAATAAAACCACTGCTTTTTGGGCTGGCTGTGAAGTTTCTCGTGTGTTGCTACTCGTCAGCGTGTTGTTATTTATCCTTTTAAAACTTCAACTTGAAAACAAAAACATGGTTTTGAACCGCAATGTTTCACTTTGTAAATAAAACAACTTGAAGTGTTTAGGAAATGCAAGGCAACTTGAAAATAAAAACTTTGGTTTAGGCCTCAATGTTTCATTTTGTGCAAAGAAACAATGACTTGAGGAGTTTCAGCTCTTCAGAACTTGCTCTATACTTTCCATTTGAAACTGTTAACCATCTCTGCCTTCCACTAGATCAGAATGAAACCTAAATATCAGTGAGAAGGAGACAATACCTTTGTAATGTGTGTGTGGTAGGTTAAAGCAGTTGGAAAGAGTTATAAAATGTTTCAGTGAAAAATATTCACGCTTTTAGGCAAGACATTACACTGAAATTTCTTTAGTCATTTGTACGTTGCTAATTGCCAGTTTGACCTGTTTTTTATATACCTTATGAAAGCTGTCTTTTCCCCGCTGGTGCAGGATACCTTCACGGGGTGATTTGCTACTGTCTGTAAAGACGGAGTAAGTTTCCATTCATTTTTCCAAAACCTGCAGAGCTGAACCTCCTCTGAGACAGCATCTGGACCAGGGTCACCTCTTGTGCACCGTAAAACTGACCAGTTGTACCTCTCAACGCTGCGACGGTGCCTCCTTGTTTTTCACAGGGGTTACTAAGGGAACCAACAGCTTGTTGCATTTTCATACTGCCCTGAACCTCACCAGGTTGTAACAGGGCCATGATTTAACAGAAGTCACACTGCAAGTAAATGATACCAGTCCCGAAAGGAGATGGGGCTTGACAGCATCCGGACCAGGGTCACCTCTTGTGCACCATAAAACGAGCTGTGTGCTCTGACCAGTTGTACCTCTCAACGCTGCGACGGTGCCTCCTTGTTTTTCACAGGGGTTACTAAGGGAACCAACAGCTTGTTGCATTTTCATACTGCCCTGAACCTCACCAGGTTGTAACAGGGCCATGGTTTAACAGAAGTCACACTGCAAGTAAATGATACCAGTCCCGAAAGGAGATGGGGCTTGAACAGTATGATAGGAAGGAAAGAACCTAAAGAATTTGCCTGGAGCAGATTTTAAGTTATAGAGGCAGGGATTAATATCCCCCAAACTGCCTTATCAACATTACAAAGTATGGGGACAAAGCAGGGAAGCACAAACACTGCAAGGCACTCGCACTGTGGCAAAATATCCCACTCCCTGTTACCATGTGTCATTCAGAAAACCATCCCAGGCCCTGAATCGGATATCTGAGGTCTCCTCTGCTCCAAGTTCAATGCAAACCTGCTCTTCTAGCTTCAGTTTTGGAATTTCACAGCCTGTCTTCTGAGAGGAGAATAATTCATTTCCACAGATGTATGCTCCTTAATATCATTACACACTGGCCTGTACAATCCCTCTGGGAGAGGAGCCCATTTGTAAAGCAATATTATTCCTGTGCCATGCTTTTAATTTTGAGGTTGTTATTGGTAATGACTTCCTCTCACACAGATCTAGCAGAGGCTGAGCTTTCAGATGAGGAAGGCAGTGCAGTTGCTGTTCACACAGAATTTGATATCGTGTCACTGTGTGTGATAGGGAAATAGGCTTTGGCCAAACCAGGAACTGCATTTCATCTTCAGATTAGGAGCTTCGATTATCTAGCAAATGTTCAGGCTACAAAATAAGCTTCCATTACAAATCTTTGCCTTTGATAGTATTTTCCACCCACCCCTTCTTTTGCCACATCTTTACAATACTCTGCTGGGAAGGAGTATTTGCTTAGTAATGCTAAATGAATTCCTTTTGTACAATACAGTGCTCCAACCATGTGCAGTGCAGTCTATACTCCCCTTAGCTCTGTGTGGAAAAATCAGCTATTGCTCTTCTCCTAATGACTTAAGGGAGATACTGGGAAACTGAATTAGCTCTTAAAGAGCTGCCTTTAGGAGTGAAGGTCTGGGATGCAGAAATTTGAGGGGTTATTTCCCTATACATCTGGCTGTTAGGAGGCTCACAAGGACAAATCTCAAGAAGGGGACAATATTAATAGTAAGCAAGGGCTAGAATCTGTGAGACAGCGTGCTGATACCACTGAGTACTCATTATCAAGCCAAAAACCATTGCTCATGTCTCAGATAGAACCTCATCAAGATGGCAAAAAAAAAAGATGTACAAACACCACCAACAGAAAAAGCTTGGATTCAGAGTGCCATCTCATAACTAAAATCCTTAAACACCAAAGGGCAAAACTACCTGTGAAAGCTTCTTTCATCGCCCACCACAAATACACCTGCAGGAGGAAACAGGGAACCAGCTGAGTAGATCTCCTAATCTACCCATTACACAGCACTGTTTTATGCTGTTAAACAGCTGCTGGGTTCCAAGGGTCACAAAAGCAGTTTCTGTATTTTTCCTCTTGGAGCTCCTTTTGATAACGTATGTCCTGTATCACGTGCAAGTCATTCGGTTTCAGCACACGCCGTTTTATGGGATATAGTAATACTTGGACACTTCCTTCATAGCCTCCATTAAAAAGCAACACCACAGCAATACCAAAAATAGCACAACTACAGCCAATTTTTAATACAGGGGAGAAATGGAAAAAGATTTGTGCGACGAATTTTGATCACAGAAAACAGGACCACAAGACATCTCACAAATTTCTTTAGCCCATTCCTCTTTTGCAATGTTCTTAGTGATTAATGAGGACAGCTCCTTGATTAACCCCTTCATCTGAATCCCAGACTTATAAAAAGAGTGTGAAACACTACAACATGTAGTCTTTTAATTGCTACCTGAGACCATAATATACCACCTGAACCAGTCACCAGAGAAGGACAAATCCCAATGTTCTCAGTCAAAGTGACACCGACAGTAAAATCTGAATGCCAAACTGCACTCCATTTTTCCCCTTCCCCCTTGAAAATTGTGCCTGGTTTTTGACAAGTCCTTACCTGTTGCTTCCACCATTCCTTCCAGGATGACCACAATTTCAAACTCCTCCTTCTCCAGTTGGGTGCGGGACATCTCCCAGAAGGGGCTTTTCTCATTGATTTCATGCGAGATGATCAGAGGGGACACCAGGAACAATCTGTCGTCTCCGGTGTCAAATCCCACGTTGATGTCTGTTTGGTTCAAGGGGATGAACTCTCCTTCTTTGGTCTGTTTGGACTTAATGAGTTTGGCTCGAATGGAAGCCTCGACAATGTGGGAATTGCGGAGGTCTCCAACCCGGAACATGAGACAGAGCTTCTCATCCCTCATGGAAATCACCGCGTTGTTAGAAAACATGAGGGTTTCAGCCCTCTTCTTTGGTTGGCTGATCTTGACAAACATGCATCCCACCATGAATGCATTGACGATGGAGCCCAGAATAGCCTGGATCAGGAGCAGTACGATGCCCTCCGGGCATTTCTCCGTTATCACCCTGTAGCCGTACCCAATTGTTGTCTCAGTCTCGATAGAAAACAGAAATGCAGAAACAAATCCACTGAGATTTTCAACACAGGGGATCCAGTTGTCATCTTCAAGATGGTCCAGGTCTCCCCGGATGTAGGCGATGAGCCACCATATGAACCCAAAAAACAACCAAGTGATGGTATAGACCATAGTGAAAACAAGAAGGTTAAAGCGCCACTTGAGGTCCACCAGCGTAGTGAAGAGGTCACTAAGGTATCGATAGGTTTCTTGGACATTTCCATGATGCACATTGCACTTGCCACTTTTCTCCATGTAACGCTGGCGTGGCTTCTTCCCTTCTGCTGATATGAGGCGGGTTCGGTCGGTGGCAATGGGGACATCATCCCGAGCCTGTTTGGGAATCTTCTTGGGCTCTCTGGACGTGACTCCGATGTCCATGTCCTGGTTCATGAAGATCCTAGAATCTCCGGCCATTGCTGGGCTGCAGGAGAACAAAGAAATAAAGTTTAAGATAGGAAGAAAAGCGCTGAGACAAAAGCCATTTTGTTTTACTGTCTGAACCATTACGACAGACCAGGACAACAAACATTGCAAATATTAATGTTACACTGATAAACCTTGTCCCATGCTGGTACAGGGCTGGGTACAGACTGATTCCTTCTCACTAGACCCACATATTTCCTCCTAGTATTGTTTTGGGAAACACACTGAAGGGCTTCAGCTCTTCTCTCACAACAGCCACTTGCTAAATACAACGCTGCATTGAACTGGATGTTAAATAGGGATTCATAACACACGGTCTCTTCAAGCATGAGCCAGCTGCCACTCACTTTGCTTAATGCACTGCTGGAACCTCAGAAAATGTGGTGATGAGCACGGCTTGGGAGTCATGAAATAGGTAGACCTAGTTACGGTTTTGTGCAGGTTTTTTTGGTCCTCAGATTTTTTTATGCCCAAAATTTGCTTGAGAACACAACAAGAAGCAAAGTAAAGATACATCAACGTATATTTTCAAGAAGCACTGAAGGTGTTTTTTGATGCCTCAGGTTTTGGGTGCACACCAAGAGAAACCTTAGAAATTCATAGAAAATGCTGAGCACCACTGTCCACCTAAACCTCACATAAGTCTAAATTATGCATGAAGGTTCCTCTTACAGCCAGCAGAGAAAGGCACCTGCAGGGATCATTCAGATTTCAGGCTAGCTGAATCACCTTCTGGAAGTGCCAGATTATTCTGGGATCCTGGGTTCCAGTGGTGAAATAAGCTTTTAATTTAGCATCTTGAATTACGGGTCTGAAGGTGTGATGGAGCCAGGCCTACTGTCAATCGGATATATCAGTACCCACCCCTTTACTTCTCTGACATTGGACACAAACACCAGATGCTTTTAGAAGCGTAACAGCCAGCCATTAAAAAGCCCACTGCTGACATGCAAAACTGTGCTTAACAAGATACAAATAAATAATACAAAACGATGGCTGAGATGATTTTTGCAGATTATCTGTAATGTAACATCCTGTTGACTGAGATGATTAGGTACTCCTTGAAAAAAAAGCCCCAGCACGCACTGAAAAATGAGTCTTGAGACTAAATGCAGGGCATAGACAAAATCTCTGTGAAAGACTACCTAAGAAGCCTTAGGGACATCCGAGATAGAGTAGCAATATTCTCTATGGCGTTCATTCTCTGCATTGTCCTCTGCAAATCCTATTAAAACCTAACTAAATCTATTACTGCTCCCTCTATCTTTAATCTTCTTATGCGTCTGTGAATGAGAAAAGGTATAGAGATACAATTAAGAGTATCTTGGGAGAGACAGTTTTAAGATTGAGCAAAGTAGCTTCATCTTTTCAGTATTAAAAGGCACAAAGGGTGGGTGGGAAGGAAGCAGAGGCAGGATGAATAAATGAAGCATCAAATTTCCACTTCCATTCTGCTGTAGCCAAGTCTGGTTAACAGCAAAGAATTACTCTTAGCCCTTGTATAAGTCACCATCAATCATTACTGCAATGAAGCAGCCAGGGCCTGTTGCTGGATCCATACCCGCTGGCTCTGTTCACCAGGGAGCCCAGCCATCTGTCCACGGCGCGGTCCCAAAGCTGCTTCGTGCTGGCAAATTTGCCTGGTTTGAAAGGTTTGGACCAAGGTTGAGCCAGTGCAGCCACAGGAAGGGGTAAATAATAGGGATTAATGACGCTGGGAAGGTAAATCAGGAGGATTCAGGTTTGCTACCCTCACTGCTTATGGTTATGTTAAAGAGAATTTTGTTATAAAAGTTGTATTTGAAGGTGAGTTTCACTTACACTGATGCTATCTAAGAGAGAACAATCAATTTCAAGATCTGTAGTGTAAGGTTTCATATTTTAGATTCATACCAAAGAGACCAAAAGGATCTTGAAACATATTAAAAAGAACAGAACCGAATAAAAACAATCAAAAAGTCTAAATCCCTAGAAATATCACGCTGGTGAAGCAGGATAGAGGGACTGCCCATTAATGAAAGTACAGGGAAACCTGCCTTAACGACAATGCTCGAGGGACTGGCACCATCACTTTCCTAATGCGACTGATCTTTAACAATAGGTCAAGTGAAATCTTTCTGGAAACCTTAGGAACACCTTACAAGTGGTCCATTAAAGCAGAAAAATTCCTGCT